TTTACCTGTAAAACGTAATATCTGCTTATTTCTTGCCGCTATAACTTTAACACTGATATTTTATACAATAAATCATTGTAATAAGCTAATTTTTATAATTAATCATAATTTCACGCGTTTCTTAAAATCTCATTTGATTGTCATTAATAAAAATGTAAACTATACACCTTTAAATGGTTATGTATTATTTTATGTTTAGCGGATTTTAATTATGCGTTATTTGCAAAGACATTGCAACTAAGAGACTAAATTGTTTACATTTTTATGTGGCAAATCATTATTCCCACCAGATTCTCGTTTATTGCGTCTTTGCCGATTTTATCAGTCTGTCAAAATTATTTGGAGAAATTACTTTCGAAAAATAACATTTGATGTAGGACACATTACAGGACGTAACTATAATTTTATATTATATAAATAAAAATATGTTTTTAATCAAATTATTCTTTGAAGTTTTAATATAAGCTAAATTTTTTATTAAAAAATCAATATTAATCTAAACAAAATATTAGGGTTTCGAAGAACTCCGTAAATACGGCAACGCTGAATATCTTATTTTACGAATTTACAATTTTAATGAATGAAATGTAGTACCGTAACCAGCCGCAACGTTGCCAATCAGGTCTAACAGCTATTTTGTATTTCTGACAGTATCTGACAGTTTCTGTGTGACTTATTGATTTATTCATTTATAAAATACTATTTTTGTGAACTTTTGTGAGAAATATAAAGAATTATGGTACATGCATGTGTAGTGTTCAAAAAGGTAGATCATTTAACTCGAAATGTATGGTTTCATCGGTAAGTATTTTTAGGTTAAGATATGTTGTTTTCATTTGAACCAGTGGAGAGCTTGTACAAGAGTTGATACAATTTCTTATAGAAATTAAATTATATAGGATCACATAGTAAATTGTTTGAAAAATGATTATCCAATCTAATTTTTCAGACAATTTACTGCAGGTTTGATAATATACAATTTAAATTGTACAAGAAGTTGTATCAAAAACTTGTGTAGTCTAAAACAGTCTTAAAGCAGTTTTTAAAGTGATATTCTTTTTATAAATTAGTAAATTTTTCTTATACCAATAAATAATTATTGAATAGTGGCAAAGAAAATTTAACGTAAAATGTAGAATACCTTAAAAATGATTTACCTATTGAGCACCTATACATATTTTTTATTACTCTATTTAGGTTCCCGCAAGATCCTGAGAAAAGAAAACTTTGGTTTTCTCTAATAGGAATCCTTGAAAATTAGCCCCTTCGTAAAAACCCAGAGTTGTGTTTAGAACACTGTTTTCCTGAAAATGTTTTGGTACGCGCAAATGGTACTAGATATATTAGAAAAGATGCAAACTCCAGACGGAGTGAGGGCTTTCTATTTTTGGATGATTTATCCAACAGGTAAAAATACAAAATATTAATTTTTGTTTACCTCTAAACATTATTTATTACCTATATGTATGTATATCTAATGTATGGGTTTTTAGTTCTGATTCAACTGTTTTTGGAACACCACCTGCTGCAAAAAAAAAACGTTGCAGTAAGTTATAACATTAATAACTAAGCATAAAAAAATTAAATGAAATTTTAGTTAATAAAATTAAAGTATTTTATATATTTAAAACATTATTTTAAAAATTTTTACAGTTTTTTACGATATTTTTTGCCATGCCATGTTTGTTTGTAATTAATTATTAAAAAATTATATATTTTTAGGACAGTGTTTTATTTAGATACCCCTACCTACTTAATGTTAATTTAAAATTTTAAATAATTTTGGTTAACATCATACCAGGCAAATATATAGTAAATGCCAATAAACTATAAACCAATAAATATTAAAAATCGAAAGGTAACTTGAATTCGCTTGTATTTGAATTTACTTGTACTTGAATTTACCTACATGAAAAATCAGCAAGTATCATGCAAAACTATTGTCATACTCTGAAGGCAATTCTCTCACCAGAAATCAAATCACGACTGGTGAAAGACTGTCTAGAAGACCTGACAGAGCTAAGTAGTTAAAATAAGGTGACCTAAGCCTGGGTTCCAGGCCATGAGGGATATCAGGTCAATGAAAATGCCGACGAATTAGCCCGAGGAGGCTCAGATAAGGCCATGACAGGACCCGGACCCTTCTGTGGAGTTGCTAAGGCATTGTGCAAGGCATCCATTAAACAACGGATGCAAACAGAGTCTCAGGAATGGTGGAACAACTATCCAAGACTGAGACAGGCCAAACAGTTCATCAATGAACCATCGGCTAAGTTCACGAAAGACCTACTGGATCAAAAGCGTCAAATCGTTAGAATAACAGTAGGCCTTCTTACTGGACACTGTCGCCTCAAAAGGCGCATGAGTGTCATAAATCCAGCAGAAGAAGCAACTTTGTGCAGGTTCTGTGAAGAAGAAGAGGAAACAATATTCCACGTCCTGTGCCAATGTGAATGCCTGGCTGAAACGAGGTTTCTAACATTGGGCGAAGAAAAGCCAATTGCATGCAACTACATGCGGGAGCCACTGTCAAAGCTACTAAGACTAATAAAAAAGACCAGGCTAGACGACATACTCTAAAACAAACAGGAGTCCCACAATAGATCTGAAAAGGTCGTGGTGGACAAGGACAAATAACGTCCAACTCATAATCTAATCTAATCTACCTACATGAAAAATCATCATAATTATATTACTAAAAAAATATACCTACATATTTACGTATTTTTTTAACATACTACTCTGACAATACTGGTAAATTTAAAACTCTACGCCACTGGCGAGCATATTATGGACTTCGAGCATATATTACTAGAGTCATCGTCCAAATGGACTTTGTTTTGGTACAGGGGGAAAAAATAGTGTCCAGCATTCCCATTGGTCTGTTTCGTTTTGCTTGGCATGTCAAATCGTTCGAAATTGTCAGAACTGTCATTTGATTTTTGACTTTCATTAATTTCTAGCTTATCTTTGTAGTTTATAAGTGATTTTTTGTATTTTATTACTTTAGTGATACAAATTTTAACAATGGTGAGAGATGGGTGAGAGTTTGTGTAAGTTTTTAATAGAAATACGAAAAGGCATCGTCAAGGTCATTCCACAAGTAAGTAACCATTAGCGTCTCTACCATTTTTTTAAAAGAAACATAAGTACCCACATTTTATGCAAAAGGCCGTTAAACATGAATTTAAAATAAATGGTAAATTTAGTGAATTAAATTTAAAGAACTTATATTATGTATGAGGAATATTGTTTTAGATTTTGGACTTCAATATTAACAAGATTTTCGTTTTTAACTCATTTTATCATGATAATGTTGAAGATGTTAAATAAATAATTTTTTTTTTTTGTAGGTTTCATAAGTATAAATTACATTAAACAAATTCACGCAATGGTCGTCAATTAAATCCTTATAATCCTGCTGAAAAAAACGTATTTGGTGAAACATATTAAAGTATTTCAAATAGTGATGTTTTATGTTCCAATAATTTTTCTGGATATATATTTCAAATAGTGATGTTTTATGTTCCAATCATTTTTCTGGATATATATTTATGTCAAAGACTGGATGCAGAGGAAGAACTGGATTAATTCTAGTTACTACGGCCCCAGAAGAAGATGAATCTAAAAGGTAAAGAACCCTGCATTTTTCTTGTGGGTTATTCGTTAAAATTTTTTAATTTTTCAGTGATGACCTGAACCATGAAGCCTCTGTTGCAGAAAAAGAAAATGCAGAATTAGAAAGCATATAAGTAACTAAGTACTTTTTAATACAACATAAATTTTATTTTCAAATACTTACCTATTACTAACTATATTTTTTATAAACAACAAAAATTGGCAATCATTATTTTTTATTAAATATACCTATGTTCTTTAATTAAGTAGACTGCTAGTCGTTAAGAAATAAGCAAAGCCTAATGTGATTTTTTTTTTCATTAAAAAAGTCATTTTAAGCTTCTTTTCTTTGTACTCCTAGTCATTAAGAAATAATCGAAGCCTAAGACTGTTTTACGATAAAAATTAAGCTTCACTAATTTTTTAACGACTGGTAGTGCAAATGTACCTAAGTATTAGCTTGATTTCTATTTGTATATCAATTAGTAATCTATTGAACATTATTTACGAACAATATTTTTATGTTTAATAAATTATTGGAACAAATTCTATTATTGTAATTCTCGTACATGTGTGTTAATAGATATCATAAATATTTTTATAATATACCTAATATTTATTTATATTTTTGATTTTTAAATATAAGCTCTTTATCTTTTTTATTGCCCATTATTTCAACCTTCATTTTTCCGTATTACACTTTCTGATGTTTGAATTAAAAAAATCTGATGTGTCCAACACAACTAATAATAAATAATAATAATTTACTATTACTAGATTCCTACTTAAATAATGCAAGTTTATAAAATATGTGCATAATTTACAGAATTTTAAAGGTATATATCAATTTTATTATTTATATTAATTGAAAACCCCGTAAAAATGATGCGACACTGAAAATAGTGTCTACCTGTTTCCCCTCATAACCCAAACAAACTCTGTTGAATGCGGACTCTATGAAATATATATGCTCGAAGATTATGGACACTGTTTACAACGTTGCCAGCCGGTCATAAGAGATCTGTCTTTCTCTCTTCCACTCACTAACAATTTTAAAACAATAACAGTCCGCATTTGTATGGGATTTATGAATGAAAGATTTTGTCTAGTTATTTGTAAGTAATGTCTGTGGTAATTAAAAAATGTATGTACATTTTCTTTTGACTTAGTCCAATGTCACATCAGAAAACCTAGGAGCATCGGAAACTTCGCATAATGAAATAACTTTTGCCTTTGGAACTGCGCGAGTGGAAACGAGTTGCTACGAGGGACCTTTAAATGGGTATGGCCAGAGATCCCTAATCTCTGGGTATGGCCATTTATCTCTATCTTAATTTTGATGTTCTACGTCAACTTTCGCATCTGGGTAATCTGTGGTTTAGGTCACTCTGTAAACAATATAACAGATCAAAGAAGTCGCTCAGAACTGTCTTTCATATTCTAATCAGTAATTGTCAATTTTAAATCATGTAAAATTTATAAATTCAGTAATACAAAATTCTTAGTATCATCACAAAATGAATAATAATCCATTGCTGCATATAGTTACACAACATCTGTATATCCAATGAATAATTTCGTTAACAAGGTCTCCAGACCGTTGCTTTCAAGAAATGTGACTAGAACATCAATGCTTAGGGTTCTGGCTAGTACCCCACCTCAACAAACACCTCGACAAGAGCCACCACAACCAAAGACTCCTAAAAATACCAATACCTCCATGAAATATGGCGTGCTAGGCACGCTAGGTGTAATGATGCTAACCGGATACATACTTAAAAGAAGACGCGAAAGAGGTATCGAAGAATATGAAAATTTGGAGTACAGAAAAAACGTAGGGGAACTGATAAGATCAAAGACACAAGAGTCAGAGGAATTCAAAAAACCAGAGACCCTGAGAGAACGGTAATATATTAGGTACTATTGGTAATATTGACGTTAATTTTTGTAGGTAATATAGCACTTTTTCAGAAATTCTTGGGTTTTTAATGTAGATATCTAATCATTGTCCAGTATCTCTTGGTCGATTTATTCTCAAGAAATTTAAATTAAAGCCTTGTTGGTTTACAATTTTTAAAATTATCTTCGCAAAGTTGAATAATTATATTTACTCAGATATTTTTGTTTTTATATATGATTATAATAGTACTGTAAGCCGGAAAACACCTTTTTGTACTTATTTCTTTGATTCTCCTCCTTACATATTATAGTTATGCTGCACTTAGATATCAATAAATCCATTTTCCTTGTACGCCATCATAGTCTACTCTTTTTTTCTAACCTGCTGTCTAAACCCGGCCTTGTCTTTAGCTCACATTTATTTATTCTGTCTGTTTCAGATACAATTTCATTAATACGGTCGTTAAACAATGCGCCCCGGCTGTATTTTACTTGGAGATCAGAGACCCTAACAAGAAGGATGTTGACGGAAAACCGCTGATAACCTCAAATGGATCTGGATTCATCATCAGCGAGGATGGATGGGCCCTTACCAACGCCCACGTGATCTTGAACAAGCCCCATTCAATAATAAACGCTATCTTGAGAGACGGTAAAAGCTATCCAGTAACAGTTGAAGACGTAGACATGAACATAGATTTGGCCTTGTTGAAATTGGAGGCGAAAGATAAGGTGCCGAGTTTGAAGTTTGGCGAAGGTGATATCGCTGTTGGAGAATGGGTGGTTGCCTTGGGCAGTCCTTTGTCATTGAGTAATTCAGTTACTGTTGGAATTGTAAGTATGACCTTGTATTCAGGTAATGGGATAATATTTTAATAATCACCAGATTACGTTCCTGTGCCGTCAGGTCTTACGACCTAAAAACCCAGTTAAAGCCAGCCTTCCTTTACTGGTGCCAAGACAATATTAAAAAAACTGTTTATGGTAAAGAAAGAGAATAACTCTGTTATACTATTCATAAAAAAGTAGAATTATAGCAGAACTGTCAAATGTATAGCTTATTTATTGTTAATTACATGTGGGTGTATTTCTTCAAAATAAAGTGAGGAAATTACTATTTTATATCGTTACTGTAGTGTTCACGATAATAATAATAATAATTTACCATTAAAAAAAATTCCTACAAACTTAGTAGTATTATGGAAATAGACACTGAAAAAAAACAAGTATTAATTTGACATTTTGACAAGAATATTAAAGTGATTCTTACGAAATCTTGCATTTCTCTCTTCCAAACATTATTTTATTTATTCATAATTTTGATCAATTTTATTCATAACTATATCGAATAATTTTTTGTATATTTTTTTAATTGGTTGTTTCTTGTCTCAGTACTATTATTTCGAAATCTAACCCTGAGTATTTCGGTTATTTAAGAGTTATTTTCGGTCTTGTCAAATTTTTGATCATACACCTAAAAATATTTAATATCACTAGTTAATTAAAGTCCGATTACAATAAGAACACCAACCAATAATGTCTATAATTATCAATAAAGAATAAAACTTGTTTTGTTTAAAAAAGAATTCCTATATTATTTACAATATACCACACCAATAGGCGGTGATCACCATAAATGATTCCGCCAAGTGATGACACAGCTGTGTACTAAAACTTCAATATTTTAGAGTCTTATTATGGAAATAAACGTTCTGCATTCCGCAAATCTGTTTGCTTTTTGCAAATTGTTTCGGGCCCAGCTTTTATCTCTGTTTCTGATTGGTGGGTTATATAAAATATTCCTTGCTAATCGTTTGGTAGCTTTTCAGAGTGAATAATCCGTAAGGTAATTTACTTAAGTATTCGCCAATCAGCTCAATTTTAATGCGCCGCTTTATTTCACGTTTTAGCTGTTTAATGGTTATTTAACGAACAAGTGTATTAATAAGGGCGATGTACAATCGAGATAATTTAACACGCGAGCAGAGCTAGCGCGTTAATGTTCGAGATTGTTAATCGCCATTTTAATTCACCAGTTCGTTACAGAACTTTTCCATCGACCGTACTTTTCAAAAATAAAGATATCGTACTTTCAATTTTTATTTATTTAACGCAAAACAACAATTATTATTTTTTATTTATATTAACTTTATTCACAGTTAGTTCAATTTTCCTCATGATAATAAACTTAACGATATTGCATTCGCAGTTTCTGTCACTTCTGGTGGAGTTAAATTAAACTTTTCGTCAATATCCATCTTTTGATTTTAAAATATACATAATTTTAGAATTTTAAGAAATTAAGTAATCACATACAATGACAGTATTAACACACCTTCTTGATTTGAAATGTATATGTATCTTTGGTTGCTTACATCATAGGTAACTGTCAAAATAAATGTATAAGACGTTGGCTTGCATATAATAAAATCGTTGATTAATACAACATCATTCATTAATAGGGGTCATTAATCAACGATTTTGAGTGCGTTAAAATACATTATAAATGGTCAGTCGATGAAAAAGTTGTTTTATTATTTGGTGCTCTAGACTATTGCCATTTCCTTCTTTTTCTTTTTTTCGGAGATAAGATTTCTGATCTCTTTTGGATAATTATTACCTTGTACTCTTGCATTTATTCTCAGGAATGTTTTCCCACGTGGCTTGTTGAATATTTTTTACAAAAAGTTTAACTTCTTGGTCTAGTTGTTCCTCAATTCTGAATGGAATCGAGATATCAATTAGTTATTCTAGATTGATTTTGAATCTTTTTCAGCCTGTGCCTTCTTGACTAGTTGTAGTAAATTTTATTTTTTGATTACAATATCACTCAATGTGAGAAGTATGGGAGAATGACATGAATTCATGACCCATGTTTCTTCAGTATGCATATAATTTGAGGAGATATTCTAAATTATAAAAAATTCTATGAGATCAGTATTTTTGTTTTGAATCTGTGGGGTAGTTTGTAGGCTTTCCAGTTAATGTTGTTTGACATTTATGTTGATGGCATGATGCTAATAGCGCTTTCCCTTTGTTGTCAATCTAGATCCCCAGTAAGTATGTTTTGCATTAAAGCCTCTTCTCACTATTAATCAGTATCCTTGGCTATCCAGAAAGTCAACATATTGATTCTTCTTAATAGCATGTCTTGGTGATCACAATTTCATAAGTTATAAATTTAATATTTACTACTACTGTTTGGTAACCCATTTCTTAAAAGTCTAAAGTGTATTCCTTAATTAAAACTGCACTTTCACCTTTTGTCGCAATATCTGGATGGATTGTATGGTACACTTTATGTCCTTTAAATTTGATGAACGACTCTTTTGTAAAATGTGTCTTAGTAATGAAATAGATATTAATTGTTTCTAATTCTCTTGTAGATGCTGCAGCAGTCCATTTGCGTTCCATTTAAAAATTCTAGGATAATTGGCCATTTTTAGCTTTAGTGATCGCTCCTTGAGACGAATGCTCCAAATTTAAATAATCTCATCCAACTTGTCCAGTCTGTAATGTTCAGTTTTAGCTGCATGAATTACTAGAGGAAAATTCGGCTCATCTTGTTTAAAAAGGGTAAACCGTAATTTATTGTTGATAAGCTTTTGAAGCCACTATTTTTGTCATATACTTACTGTATGTATTGTTAGCCTTCAAATATCATTATTATAATTTAATTAATCGTATCACTGGACAAAGGTTTCGTTTTTTTTTGTTCATATTATCTGAGTTATACATTTTTGTAGATTTTATCACTAGTACAATACTTTGTACAATACTGGCTTGCTTTAATTTGTTCAATTCTCCTAAAAATAGAAAGTCTCGTTGTGAATTTATTTATATGTTATGTATTATAACCTTACCATTAGGTAATAAATTATCTTCGATACCAATTTCATCGAATTTGTTTAATTCTTATTTAAAAGATTAATTATTTTAAGTCAATGTTATTGCCAGAATATTTTGTTGGGTTAGTTATATTATATTTGACGTAAAATGTGGACGGGACACGATAACTGACAGAGTCATGTGTTTTGTATTGTTCCATTTCTGGTTTCGTTGTACGTGATGCGTTCGTTTAACTGTAGGGTTAAAAGATTTTTCGCGACCGATGTGGTATCGATTTTTGTCAGTAACAATTTCCAAATGTATTTTATATAGATGTAGTTTGTAGGGTAATCTTTCGTAAATTGTTTCTATAGTATGTATGCTGATGAGTTCTTAAGGATGAATTCCTGAACCCACTTGGCTTGTCCTTATTTAAAAACGGAAGTGAAGACAGAGCCATTTTTGTTGGTTAGATGTGTCTGACGAGTTGAAGAAAGGCCGAGAACCTCATATTTTGGTCTAAGAGGTAAAATCTTTATTTAATATAGCCCTCGAACTATCCTATTAAAGGGAATTCTAGATTTTACCCCAGTATTAATTATGGAAGAACGGGTATAGAATATTTTTGGGGAATTTCGTTGTTTGAAGAAATTCCTATGTTTTTGGACCCATTCCACACCCGCTAAAGGGGATTTATAGACACAAAATTGGATATCCATCGATATTTGAGTGTGTAATATTGAAGTGGATTATTCAATAGTAATTGCTGCAGACTCTCTCGCTTGTTTTTTACCCTTGGAAGGCAACCAGTTTAACCCTTTACGAAAAAGGGTTCTATTTTTACCGAAGGGTTTACACTCCGGAGCTCAAAGTAGACTCAATCGTGAGGAGTACATTGGTTGACCAGAATATTGGTTTGCTTACTGCCTGGCTTTTAGATTTCCTTTTTTCTTATTGACATTAAAACAAGACTTACTATAAGTTAAGCAAGTCCTTTGTGTAATATTAATATTTTTTTGTGTTTATTACATTTTCTTTTTGTATTGTTTTATGATTTACATTTAATTATAAAATTTCATGGTTTACTATTTTTCTTATTATTAATTTGGACTTAACTAAAAGTTAAGTAGGTAACTTCTTCCAATTTGGAGAGTGATAAATGGTTGTTGTGTTTCAACATTAAACGTTGATGTTTAGATATAGGTGTGGATATGCCCATGATTTTTTATATATATTTTTATTTTAGTGTTTATGTAAAGGTAGAAATTAAGATCTCAAATTTTTGCATACCATATTGCGCAAGTGTCATTCGCCTGGTACCAAGCTAACAACCAACCTGTTGGTGAATTTATTATCTTTTGGTTCATGCATGTTACATATACTTATTTTAATTTCTTACCAAAATTAGGTATGTTAGTTTATTTATAACTCATTAAAAGCCATTAAGTAAATAATCTGTATAATTGTAATTTATTGGGTAAATTGGTAATTTTTTTATAAAAGAACATAAGTTGAGGTTTGTCTTTTATTTCTTTCCTCATTTACTGGGTTTGTGGGGAAATAGGAACATAGTTTGGCCACTATATAGACCCAGTTGACGCCTATCATTTGTCTACTATTTCCGGTATTTTTTATAGCTATCCACCCCCTAGCTGCCATCTGACCGACGTCGAAGGCCCGAAGGTTGACACCGGAACAACCGAAACTTATGTAACCGAGTAGACAGGATTTTTTTTGATAAAGTTATATACATATTATTTTTAAAGTTTAATTTTAGGCAATTCCCTTCTGGAAGTTGCATAGAATTTTTGGTAGGTTACAAGTTTATCTAAGATTCTTTGGAAAATTTGATTAACATTTTTTATATTTTAAGCTGGCTGTTACATATTATATGGTTTTTTATAATGTTTCCTTCAGCTATTTAGCTAAATGTTTTATTTTCATTAACTATTTGTATTATTAATATATTGTCTGCCCGATGGGGTTATATAGGGAAGTTTAGCATC